ATATATGTGAGAGAGAGAAACATAAAATGAAAGTAGAGTTACCAACCATGAGCTGCAGGTTCAGTGCTGGGCGCAGTGTCTGAGCACACAAGAAGAGGACATGGCAGGTGTGGAACAGGCGGAACATCATACAAATAAAGGAGAAATTGGGAGGAGGCAGGGAGGGAGCAGGGCAGGGGGAGAAAACAAATGACACCCATAAGCAAGCATTCAGAAGACCAGAACACATGACAAAAGACATAAGGCTTAAGGGAAATCAAAGGAAACCAAAGGCAGTGCAGAGATAAACATAAGCTTACACTTACACGCACACACACAAATAGACTTTGCACTGCACACACTGGAGGTTCCAGTCAGAGGGGAGTATGGCTACTGCTTGAAGAGATATGGATGAAACTATTATCATGTGCTGTTGGCCGCTTTGGTGTAGAGAAAAGACAAACTACCAAGAGGAAATAATTGTGCAGCTGTCCTAATTTAACAGTGTATGACTTGGAAAACACTTTACCAGCTATTTACAAAGGGACTGTTTTGTATGGCAGTGGCTCAAGGAAAGTTATAACAAACTGTTCAGTGTTGAGATGGCTTGGTAAGGATGAAATATTCCCCAACATGACCCTGACCACTTTAATTTATGACTTTCCAAACACCTGCTTTAACTTTAAAATTTAGTGCCTTTTCCTAGGAGTGATGCCCTTAAATTTTACTAGTACCCCCTAATGTTCTATCTTATGGCTGGTGGAGACAATTCACTGCAGATCCAGCTGGAGTGCCAAATGAGCATTTCAGAAAAAGTACACATATTTTAATGGTTAGATTGCAAGTTTTAGAATGTTACAAAAATTCTGCTGTCAGACATTCAGGTGTTGTTAAACAATCTGACAAGCATTGATTTGAAGCATACTCCAAATGCCTAGAACATTTGTGTCTCCATAGATATTACAGTACATCTGTCCTACTGCACAGCATCTTTAATCTGCTTCACCAGTTTCATCAGCTGCACAGCTGGTCAATTGAAAATTACCAAATGTGAAAATGATGTAGATATACGAAAAGCATCTACCGACCCATTTCTTTGTTCTGTTAAATTGCAACTTTATCTTTGAGACCGACTGCATTGTATCAGGTCCAACTAGTGTACAAAACAGGCTCAAACTGCAACCAGACCCAGGGGAGCTACAATGCAGGCTGCTGACTACACTATCCCGCATTATAGCTAAGGAAAACAGAAGCAGGGCTGGCTCGAATGAAATGCTGTGCTGGAGGAAAGATACATTAAGCATTTTATAAACACTTCTGGGGGAGATGCTTCACCAGTAAATGGGGCTTATCTGAAAACATACATGACTGACTGTTTATCAAGGCATGTCTGTATCAGTGTCAACCCTTTAACACCGTAAAAGTAGTGACATGAATTTGAAACAAAAGAAGATAAAAACAACATTTTTAACAGTAAGTACCTTGCTCCTTACCTTCCATCTCTGAGACATGAGAAAGTGCCCTGACTATAAGCTGTCAAGAAGTGTTTGTGTAAGAAACAGAATGGTGCTCAGCACTAATGCGTAATTGTTTAGGGAGCAGAAGACCAATGTCACACCTCAGCTCTGCCGCCACAGGCTCAGGGTACGGGGAATGATCTCACAAGGTGAGACAGTATCGAGCTCATCTTAGACTGACTGAAGCCTCTGAGGATCCATTTCTCTAGAAGGTCCTCGAGTACCTGAGACATGTCAGTGCTAAATGATACCACAAGCCTGTTATTAGACTAACAATTGCTTAGCATATTTGGTTGAAGTACACTCTAGTAAAACACTCAGTGACTCGGTATGATCTACAGAATAAATCTTTCTGTCATTGTGACATATTTTTCTTTTAGATTGCTGTTGCACTTTAAAAAATAGTTGTCCATGTAGCTGAAAGTTAGATTTAGTTTTGTGGTATTATATGACTAGGTATATTACCTGAGCAACCTTTGTCACAAGGCTGGTCTGCTCTGGAGCAAGTTCCGTTCACTCTAATGTATAATAATAATAACCAAATCAAATATAATACTACACAACCTCTATTCGTTTCCAAGCAGTACCTGGTCTAGCCCATCTCTCCTAAATTAAAAGCAACTTTTTAAGTCATGCTAGATCTAAACAATAATCTGACAACATTCTTAATAAAATAGGGAGACATAGATACAACAACTCTTGGCATTTGGATCACACTTGGCTAAAAGAGGACAATGCAGAAGAAGCGGGACAGTGCACGGTCTATGACTGATGATGTTGCAAACAAGAGTACAGACAAGAAGAGTGAGGAAGGCCCTGTATATGACACACATGGAGGATTTTTATTTTCATGGGATTTAACATTTTTCATCTGAGCAGTCTAGAAACTATATCTACTATCTTTTCTTCTTATATCACACCACTTGAAGACTATTCTAGAGTTCATTAGTAAAAAAATGTTAAAAATGTTAAATGAAGGCTCTGTCCATGCAAGCCCCAGTCAACAGAAAGACAGCATGGCCGGCTAACCCTCATTACACTGTGGGTGGCAGCCATGTGGGACCATTCAATATGTCTGCTGCTGAGTGATTACCGACCCATTTTTGGGCAGCCTCCTCCTTATACACCCTCTCTGGCTTCACAGGTCAACGGAGACATCAGCAGTGTCCTCGCTGACATTCACTGACATAATGTGGACGCACTAGCCCCGTGACTAGTTACTATATCTCCTATGAGCCCTTTAGTGATTCACTATGACATGACATCCAGCTCAACATGCAGAGATAACTGCATGCCAATCATAATTATATTGGCAAAAATGCATTAGATGGAACCCTGTGGTACTGAAAATGCCAACAGATTGCTGGGTGTCCCCGCTGGCTGCTAGATTACATTTTTGTGTTGGATCCACATTTTCTGACCTGCCTTTTCTACTCTGGCTTTAGTTTGCGATTTCCCATATTTCCCAGAATTCTGCCACCCCCTACTGAGCTCTGTTGATATAGAAACTGGTATCTCTTTATTTTCAGCAATAGCTTTCTTCTTGTAAGAACAGCTGAATGTTGAAAAACAGTAAATCCCAAATTGAGTCCTGGGGAATGACATTAAGTATATTGTTGTTTATCAATTATTTTAAAAAGTAGCTGATCACTTTTTTTTGTCACTTTAGCTCAGAAATGTCCTGCAATGCAAGATGCTGTATATTACAGGACCTGATTCGTTAAGTGCCACCGTGACAATGTTTGCATGCTGACATCAGCTTTTACTGTACCTCAAGCCACTAGTGCAACTATAGACTGTAATTTATAAAAAATATTCCATACTGAGCCACCATGTTTTTTTTTTCCAGGAGCCCAGAATGAACAAACCACACACCGACTATAAAGCATGAATTTCATGTGAGGTAGCAGCTTGGATTTGGAGATACTTGGAAGACAAAGAAGTAGAAACAAGAAGAAGCACTGTCATGAGTTTAAGAATGGGATAGACGACGGCACAGGATGTGGACGAGCCCTTCCCAGATGGAAAACCTTGCTCAGGCACAAATGTTTGCAGAATTCCAAAGTTGTCTGTTTTCTGCGGAACTGGTCATTTACCCTAACAAGTAAAGTTAACCTAAATGCAAGTTTTAGTTTGATAGTGTTAGCTAGGGCATGGCCAGTGCTGCTGGGTAACCCACTGCGGTCAAATGAGCCACGGTTAGCTTTTGCCGCACTTGTTTTCCAAGTGTGCAATTTGTCTTTCATTTATGTTAATCGCTGTGAAACGGCTGTGAGGGCTGTTGATCACAATGTATGAGGTTGCTGTAATCTGTCCTAAATCTCAAACACTGCACTTTTAATAAAACAATAGAAAGTCAAATATAGGATTTATATGCACATTTAGCAGAACACATTTTAACACATTCAGTGGAGTTTTGCAGCTGCAATGTGGTGTACATATGTGTGCAAATACTGAGTCTCCATTGGTTGCCTTTACTGGAGATACTTTTTCAGATACTGTCTAGGCGATTACCTCTTGGCTTTGCTTTATGACTTTCATGTCCTTTTGGTCATTGTGGAGCTCAGTAATACCTCCAGAAGACAATATACTTTCACATTAAGAAGATGTGTTGTGCTCCAGACTGGTGTTTTCCATGATGCTGAGCGCTACAATATCAATGATGCTCTCCTAGGGCTGTATGTCACATGACGGCAGTTATTGTGTTGCTATTGACTTTAATGAAATTAGTTATAGCTGGCTGGCTCCAATTTTAAAATGGACACGGAATCAAACGAAGCAAAGTGGGAACAGTATCACACATTATCTAGCCCGCTGTGTGCATGTGTTAGCCAGGAGAATGTGAAGTGGAGGCACATTGACAGTCATAAAATTCTTCAAATCGCTTCACCAGATGGTGTTTATGTAATTTAAGACCCTGACAAATCTAATGGATATTTGTTTCTCTTCCCTTCCCTTGTCTGTTTTGTTGTCTGTCGTGTGGGTTAAATGAATTGGTTGTCAGCACAGCTTATGGCCCTTCATCAATTAAAAGTAATGCTACCCTGGTGCCTGATTGTTTTATTTGGACATGGTACACATATTTATTATCTGTTTTCCTCATTCAGGGATTAAGTGTCATTGTTCATTTAGTGGTGTGTTGAATTAGAGAATGATTATTCATATTGTGTTGAAAGAGGAGAGAAAAGTGATGTGATGAAAGAGACAGAATATGTGAGTAGATGACTATTCAATCCCTACCAAGACAGCAGTACATTTGATTGTACTGTACACTTGCATTTCACAATAGATCTTGCTCACCCTGACTACAACTAAAAAGATAATAGACTGCTGCCCCTGAGGATAAAGTGCAGTACAAAATGTTGTTTTTCAAGGAAAATCTTCCTTCCACACTGAGATAGAAATGGCAGGTAAAAAGTATATAGACAGACAAGCGCACAGGAAAAGAATCAAAGGATACTGCAGAAGGAGAAAAAGAATATTTAGTTCCTGAAAGACTGAAAAAATATAAGAAATGACAGGTGCTTGTGAAAAGAAATTAATAATGTGACTGGACAGTGCAATGTCTCCATTTTGAAATTTATTTAGCAGTAGAAATAGCAATTTAACCATTTTCCCATGTCACTTTCTAAACCCTGCCAAGCACTTAACAGATATACAGGGCTGTAATAGATTTTTTTAAGTGCTCTATTCTGTTCCTTTAATAGGAAATTGATAAAAAAAACAAAAAAAAACACTAGGTTTCTGATCTGTGCGACACACTGTGGGTAAATTAAATCAAAAGGCAGAGCATATTATGGCCTTATCCTCTTGAGACTTAGTCATGCATTTTTGTCCTTTGTGGTGAACATGTCTGTCTACTGCATTTCAATAACCATGTAGCCTTCAGTGAAACCAGTACCCCCGTGTAGAGGACATGCTGGCCTTTCCAGTCATATCTTATTTGCATGCATTTACAACAGGAGTTCTGATGTTTACAAAATACTGCTTGCTTGACGGCAACATTTTATGGGAACAAGGCTGGTAAGTAATTAAAAATAATTTAGGATGCTTTTAAAGCAAGTAAAGCAAGTGTTGCAGGTAAATACATATATTATTAATGTGATCTGTGAGTTTTTTCATCCATTGTAATTAGCCATTATAAAAACTACGAAATAAGATGATCTTAACTGATACAACAGGCAGAAGACAACAGGACAGTGACAGGATGTTTCAATTCAGAAAGCAAATGTTTAGATGTGTATCAATAGTAGGAAAATAGGACAGTAGCAAATCCTGACACTACAACATACAGCAGCTCTGTTATGATGGCTTGCATAGGAAACAATGGGTGTTGGTGTTCTAACATGCGCCACACATTGACAGAATGTGTTGCCCTTAACTGCACCTGAAATATAATAGGCAATACTCTCATTGCAAATGAAAACATATTGCATGTGTTTCCTGCCCCATCGGACTAGTTTTGAAAGATGTTGCTGCATTTAAAGTTCTCAGCTGTTTGGTGAAAACAGTGTTATTGTTACTGCTGGAAATGCTGGCTCATGTTTTATAAATTTTATTTTTTTATTATTAAACCAACATCCCCCATAGCAACATACAGTACATACAGGCATTCTATAAATATAAAACTTTACAGAGAACATATTGCAAGCAGGGCCGCTAGCGGAAAACAACAAGCATGTCTTCAGGTCAGGTAAGTTTATCTTGTTTTACTTTTGTGATAAACCCACTGAAATATGCATGTGATATGCTACAGTACAACATAGTATATCATGCACACAAGTACAGAAGAGTCAAAAGTCAGTGAACTGCCACAATAATGTCAGCAATACATCAACATCCAACTTTGAGAAATGTAGCTTGGTATACTAAAGTTACTTAGAAAAAGTAGTTCAAACTACTTTGTAAGAAAGGATAATACTGTCAATGCACATGTGACGCAAAACATTAAAATAAACTAACAAACAAAAAAAAGCCTCCCATACTATCAAAAAAAATGCCACTCAGTTTAGTTTATTTACCTGAGACATAAAAACCTGTCCTAAAAACCATCCCAACTGGGTTTTGTTACATTTGACTGTACAAACTTAACAACTAAACCTGTCTTGAACTTACACCTTTTAGACTGTATGAACAGCTTGAACACTGGTCTACATGGGCGTGTCTTTTACTACTACTTCTCAGAGCAGAATCTGTCGACACATGAGAAGTCTCTCAAAGTTCTTATCCAAATTCGGTTAAGGTTAGAGAAACAAGGATAAAATAAAAAATAAAAATCGTTCCTTTTCTTTTATGGCTCAAAACGATTTCGAGTTAACTGCAGAAAAAACCAGTGTAAATTAACTACTTCAGTCACTAGACAAATATGATTGTAGCTGAACTACCAGCAAGCTACTGCAAAATGTACTTAAACTACTAGTTTAATTACATGTAGTTCACTACTCCCCAAAACTGGCAATATCTACCTACCATCGGCCAACTTCAGCCACAATAAACTATTCATTACACTTGACCAACTAAGGCTGTAACAACAAAACCAGTGCTACCAGCTGAAATGAACAAAGATGAACTTTGTGAGTTAAACTTCTCTTTTGTAAGAAATATCCTGTGTAATTTCTTCTTTTAAAAGTTATACTGCCTGACTTTATTCATTGACTACCTTTATGCAGCAAGCCCTCTCCAATATTCTGTAAGTCTGTATTATTGTTAGAATTTTAGAAATATTCCATTATTTATCTATAAAGTAATTCTATTATTCTCAACAGGTATATTACACACAAGTGTGCTCATTTTGCAAATCAGCAGAGATTTCATCGTGAATCAGTAAGGATAGCTATAATCAGACCAGGCCTGTGCAGACTCCAGGCCCCTTGATCTGAGGCAAAGGAGCTATCAATCAGCCTGCATAGATAGGTATTCTCTTTAATCCAATCAGATGGCATAATCAGGCACAATGCCTGTGATTTCTGCCAGCCTCGTGAGATTTGTTCCAATTGAGCGGTCTGTCAGAGAGGCTTTGATTGCATTTGGCATAAAGGCAAGAAGTGATGTTTTCTATCTGCACCCTTTGGAGATTTATACTCACAATAGCCTTGAGTTTTGCTGCTGAAAGACTGAGATAAAATTTGCTTATTTCAAAAGGACCTAATTTTCAAGAGCTCATGTTCATTGTTCACCCCTACTGCTCCCCTCCTCCCATCATCTATAATTGACTTTTTATGAACTAGAAATGTGATTCATATAAAAGGCTATTCTTGTGTCTGCTGTGAGTAAATGATACAGAACAATTATGAAAATTATTCATAAAGCATCCATTATAGATGTTTCATCATTTACAGTCTTTGTAGCCATTTTTTTTTGTGCCAGTTTAGGTGATATCACAGTGTACGGTCATTTACAAATGTAATGAGTGTATGAGAAGAAAACCCCAAACAAACAAAATGATCTTTTCATTTGTTTTTGTACACCATGCTGTTTAAAATCAACCCAGTCTCACAGCAAAATGTATAATAACTATGTTGATCTGCAACGCAAAATGCACTACTTTCGCAATAACACCTCGAAAATTGTGACATTACTACATTTTTCTCAATTGACAATTGAAACTGAAAGCACATTGAAACTAGGCACACAAACACCATCCATACATCCCAAACATCTGCTTTTAATGTTTTAAACATGATAAAGTTCTAAACCACATGCCTTCAAAGGACACTATGTTAGCGTCCTGATCCACACTCCTGTCCAGTTGGTGGCAGTAATGCTCCATTTCCTTGTTTGACAACTGTCATCAAACACCAAGAAAAAGGACAGTGGGCTGGAATACAACAAGCATAGCTATGGCATGATTTTATAGTCATTACTGTGACACTACTATGTTTTATGCTGTGGACCAACATAGCCATTATACAATTTGCTGTGAGACCAGGCTGTTGAAATCTGCTATGACAGGATTTTTGGGAACAAAGCAGTGAATGAACAGTGCTGATGGTCGGCGGGTTGCTCTGAGAGGCTACACATTGGTCTACTATTTGTCTGGGGTTGTTGTCCATCAAGCATGCACACACCCATTTGTAAAGTAGAAAAAAAACTTGCTGGGGCATATCATTCTGTGCCATTGTAAATATAATTAGAATTCCTGATTGTGAATCTATTTTCACCTGTCATATTTCCACATTAGCCTACAGCAGTTTCTTGCATTTTATTTATATAGGTGGCTCATAATGTTCAGTGGTAATGCTAAAGTTTTCTACTTCATAATCACCGTGCTGAACAAAAAATAAAGATTGAAAAAAGGAAGATTTGGGTACAGATGTAAACATATGACATAAACGTGTGACAATAATCTCAACACAATATCCACTTACTAGCTAGTTATGAGCTTCATCGGTGAGCAACACATCTCACCAACCTTTCCCTCTCTCATGTATTACTTCAAACTCTGCCTTTATTCGAACACCAGCATGTATTTGAAAATTTGGTATCTGAATATGTGAATACTTATTTTAGCCTGTTAAATGATTTAGAATAGACTGTTATTTAAAAATTGGTAAATGGCCCTAACCCAAAAATAAAGAAGCACGCTTGCTAATATGAAGATGGAAATATATGGAGTGATTCAAGAGTGTGCTGTGAGTAGAGCAACACACACACACACGCACACATCACATCACATCACACAGTTAAACAGGTTGTGTGAGGGTGATACTGTACCTTGATTGGCTTCAGGGTAGGAGATGATGGTTGTGATGGTGGTGGTGGTAGTGGTGGCTGTGGTAGGTTTAGGGGTGGTGGTGGGAGCATCTGGGTGAGAGGACAAATACATGACAAAGACATGGGGGGAGAACAAATGAGTATAAAAGCCATGAAGATAAAATAAAGTCTCTGTGAATCCATGCTATCGCTATTCGATATATGACCAACAGGTCACTGTGTGTCACTGTGAGTGAGTTAAAGGTCTGCTGCTCACTTTCTGATGAACTAGCTAGATGACAGCGTATTAAAAACTGTTCACAAAGAAATGACACTACACACAAAAGCTGATCAAAGATCTTCTTGGGAGCTCTTTTCTTTTATGTCTAGTCACAGACTACACACCATGACATGAAATACTGACAGTGCTTGTGAGCACATGGTTGCTAGTGATTAAATGTCTAATGAGTAATAAGTGCTGGTGTTGTACTCATGCTGTCATTGTTATGCAGCAAGCTATGTTGACAAACAAATGTGTGCCTGTGCATTCTTAATAGCTCCAAAGAGGAGAATACAAAGCTGGTGAGGATAACGGCAACAGAAAATCTGATGTGTAAACTCAAACATAATTACACAATCATTGGCAATGCGCAAACACAGAAGGACAAAAATAATATTAAAATAAACCTAAAACCAAATAAATGAACAACATCATGCGGGTTTGTTGAGTTCACTGTTTGACCAGAGACTCTTTTTCTTCCCACAGCGTTTCCCTTTTTACTTCATTAGCCGGGTTAGACTCCCTACTCTGACAATGACCAGGGGGAGATAGATATCAAAAGTGACATTTTCCTTGTTGAAGTGGCAGGGCTGCACTGATGTAAAACTACTGGAAATGCTGCTTGGTTAGAGACTGCCCATGCCGCTCTGCATGCCAGGGAATGGACTGAAAGTTACTAAAAGATGCTAAAAAACTCCAGCTGTTGATAAGGAGGAAGACTAGTCGACACATAATGAAATAAGCTGCTGACATATCACAAACCAGGCAGGGAATGGAAGCTGTTCATTGTAAATGACACTTTGCTTTGCAGCTCTGCATCCACTGAGCATCTAGCTACACTACTGGACAAAGGTGAGAGGGGCTCAACTTTATGTAAATATCTTTGGAGGTAGCATGAACAATAGCCAATCATGATCGACCTGATTCCAGTGGAAACCATTGCACAGAGCTGTTTACTACCACACTCCACTAAGCAGTATGAAGGAATTTTAAACAAAATAGAGGAAAAGAGGGACATCACAGAGTCCAGCTTCCAATTCCATATAATCATTTTTACCAGAGATGCATCACAGTGGCTATAAAACAGAACAAACTGCAGCTATAACACTCGATTTCTGCAGTGTGGCACAAGTGATAAAATTGCAGCTGCTACAGCTACAAAATTCTAATCACAATTTCTCAAACAAATATGAAACTGATGATGTTGTATATTTTGGTAATGGTCAACAAATCCCATGTGACGACCGAGTAACGAATCCCTGTGCAGTCTTCGGTTGTCCCCAGGTTTCCCCTCCAGATCTGCACTTCAGTACTCACTCACACACACACACACACACACACACACTCTCCACAGGTGTCTCCATTTGCCTTGATTAGTCCTTAAGTATATAAGCCTGTTTGGTTCCTTTGTTTATTGCCAGTTTGTCTGTTGTGCTCATCGCAGCCTTAGTGGTTCTCAGCCCCAGCATCCCTACCACCTTGTTGTTTCCTGAAGGCAGCCTGTTTGTTTGTATTTACCCATGTTTCCTTGTTTTTGGACTCTACCAGTTTTGGACTTTTGTCTACTCCCTTAAATTTACTGCATAGCTGTTATGTTTTTGACCTTCATCTTTGATTCACACCCTGCCTCTGGGTCTGTCTGCTCTGGATCAAAAGAAAGCCTTGTTTATCTCTTGTGCTGCAATACACTGTTCAATATTATTTGCCAGCCTGCTTGCCTACCTGGGTCAGCATTTGGGTCCTCTCCCCTATTGCCTGGCAGGTTTCACAAGAACCATGACAGTATTATATCAAAATATAAATTGCACTGTTTATTGCTGTTGTTGTGGAAAAGAACTAAGGGGTGCTATTATAAAAATTGTCACCACACCGTCTGAGCCATGTTTTCTAAAAACCTCAGTGACCAGCTGTTATAGTAAATTAACAAGCCTTTATTGAACTTTAAACTATATAGTTGTACCCCATTTTTATTAGCATGTACATATTTTCTTCTCTGACACAGGGTTTAGCGAGACTCAAAACAAACTAACACCATAAGCTGCTGTTAAATGCTCTTTGTCTTTCCCATCAAGTCCTCTTTCCTAGCGATAACATAAACTATGGAGTCCTGGCAGTAACAAGCTGTAGAAAATGCAGTCTCCAATCCAAAGATAGCATTTGCTGACAAATTAGTAAATTTATCAGTCCAGTAGAATGCTCTGGTTACTGCTAATGCAACATAAAACATTGTTACACAAAGCTTAAATTACTCCCAAATTAAAATACTATTAATCAATACAAAGTTATATCATGACTGTACTAAGTTGCTAATGTTACCAAAACAAACACTTAATTTTAGATGCCAACACATCCAGAAAGAATAACAACACATTTGAAACAAATATGAGTCCTTTGGCTGCTTTTAACAATCTCCATCTCAAAAGGCCAAACTGACGGTAACATGGGTTTTTGCTGTTTCTTTGTCGCACTCTCTCGACAGCCAAGAGCTCCTTCATGGCTGGATGTTTTCTAGCTGCCAAGAGCTCCTTCATGGCTGGATGTTTGAAATTACTACTCATGGCTCAAAAAACACTCCTTATAGCCTTCTCTAAGTGGCAAGTGGGGCTAATTTACAGACTGTATTTTGAAAACACGGTTTAGCAAAGCTGGAATAACAACAGAAGGGCTGTAGGCAGCAAAGCAAACTGTCACAGAGGGGGGCAGGACAGCAAAGAGACAGCACATTCTGTCCTACTTTCACTTAATATGTCAAACAATGTGTAAAAACTCAGTGAAAGCACTTTTAAAGGTTTACATCATGGCAGTGGTTGGATGAATAGGCTGGGGTCTGAGTCCCTCAGACAGGGAAGGTTGTAAAGTATCAAAAATGAAGCAATACATTTTATTTATAGACTTTTCATGGTATTTAGAAATACAAAATGACACCAGCCCCAGCCATTCAAATTGACTGCCATTAGCGACGCACAGAGAACACATTCAAGGAACTCAACTCCATAATGCAACAAGTAGATTTTATGTACTGTAAATATCATCCTATTTTCTTATCATTTTTAATTACTTTTGTTTTTAATGACACCAGTTACAATTGAAAATGTCTACACTCCAATGTTACATTAAAGCAATAATAAAAAATCGTCCTACTGTTTGTAATATCTTCCCTGAGGGTACAGAGGTTGTTTATCATACAAAAGTAGTCTTCCCAGAGGGCAGAAGATGTTTATAGTTACTGCACGCCTGCTCAGTGCTATTTATTGCACTTGAACAAAAAGTGAACCAAGTAATTCATATACAAGGCGGAGTAGACTGTATAGCCCCCTCAGAACGCTGCCTGAAGCAAATTTAAAAATGCAAATTATCGCCTTCAGGTGATCTGAATCAGCATGCAAACTCTGCTGATGTATGGTATGTTTTTAATTTATCAACAATCCCCAAGACAACTTTGTCAATAAAAAAGGCTGTACAGACCAATGTGCAGACAAAGGTGGGGAGGAATGATCCATTGGGATGTCAGCTGGCAGAAGAAGCTCGAGCTGCTTCACACATCCTTGAGAGCCAACAGTTGAGGGGTGGTCCTGTCTAATTGGTTTTATCCCATCATGAACTGTGAGAGTCCAGCAGATGTTTGGGTTCATCAGTGTCAACAACTCATTAAAACTTAACATTAAAAAAAAAGACTGGTGAGACTTCTGGAAGTACACTATATTTTCTGCTTTTTGTTGCTTATGTATCAAAGAACACTGGAGCTCATTGACTTTCAAATGTGACAGGCAGAATGTGTTTTTCCTCCCGCTGAGTAACCAGGCCTTGTTTACTGATGAGGCTTATGAATCAGTGTTTCGGGTCTGAACAAATGGAGCTGGACTACAGGAAGAGCCGAGAC